ACATATGGTACTCTGTTCTTTGTTTCTATGATAGATCACTGAGTATGACAGACTCTAAATTCATCCAAGTTGCTACGAAGTCCATATGAAACCTAATTTTTTTATTTAACAAATAGCCTAGGAATTTTTGCATATCAATAAATATCAATCTGCACCACTATTTGTAATTGCTGAAAAGTTTTCTACCAGAAGTATGTTTTTATAAATTTTTCACAATCCCTTGGTGGTTTAATATTACTTGTTAAGGTTTAGTACAGGTCTACAGAAGTAAAATGAAAGTGGATAAATTACCTGAATAATTCTGTCTTCTCAAAAATATTCACCAAAAATATATTGTCAATTCATACAAGTAAGTTTTTGGTGTTTGTTTTGTTTTGTTTGGATGAGCACAAATTATCTTTGAAAGTGAGAACCAGAGTTAAGTAAATTCAAACTAGGACACATCGTTTGGGTTTCTATTCTCATCATTTACCTGAGACCTAAAATATTTCTTGTACAACACTAACCAGAGTGGGAGGTAGAGGAGAGAGAAGTCCTTTATAGTAAACAGGGCAACATTTTACAACCATGTTCTATATATCATATACAAGCAAACATGTATTTCCACAAGTAATACTTTGCAATGTCTTTGAACAGGGCAACAGTTTACAACCATGTTCTATATAGGATCATCCATCATATACAAGCAAACATGTATTTCCACAAGTAGTATTTTGAAATGTCTTTGGAAAAAAAGAGAGAGAGTGAGAGAGATGGGGTCTCACTGTATTGCCCAGACTGGTTCTGAACTCTTAGCCTCAAGCAATCTTCCTACCTTGGCCTTCCAAATTGCTGGGATTCTAGGCATGAGCCACCACGCCTGGCCTTGGAAGTGTCTTTTAAAAGAGTACAGATTGGGCAACTGCCTCAGGTCCCCTCCAACTGTGGGAGCTTTTCTGTCCTCTCAATAAATCCTGCTTTCTCAAAAAAAAAAAAAAAACAAGTACAGGTATGGGAAGGGAGGGACAAATGTTTACAACTTACCATTACCCATGTTTCATGAGAGCACATCATTACCGCTAAAACCAGATAAGACTTAAGAGACTCTCTGGCGATGTCAAGCAGCAGAAACTAACAAAATTTAATCTCTGGGATCATAAGGAAGACACCTAGCCTTCTGCAGATCATGACAATACAGGTCTGTCTGGAGTGGCCATTCCTGGTGGCTATGCAGCAGTCCTGGTTCCTGAATCAGAGCACCAGTCTGCAGGCCTCATCAAGCACAACTTGTCCCTCCAGTGATACTGCTGATTCCTCTGGAGACTTTGACTTTATTTGCCTCCCACATCCCACTCCCACCCCCATTCAGCCCCTCTGGAAGTTGTTCATGGTCCCTACCTCGCAACACGTTAGCCTTATCAATCTAAAATTGGATTGACTTTAGATCTTTCCCCAATCAGCCTATTCATTTTGATAAGAGTCCCTAAACCTGTCCTGATGTCTCATCAAACCCCTTCCCTTTTTTATTCTAGGTCTCCCAAGCACTAGGCCCACCTGGGCAGACCTCCCACATCTGCCCACTCAGATTTTCTTGCCTCAGCTCCAAAGCCCTCCAACACCACACTGGTCTTGAAGTGCACATCCCTGGCTGGCCCCTACCATTCTTATCCCCTCAAGTGGCCCCAGGCTTCAGGCAGAAAACCCACCTCTCTGTCACTAAAGCTGATTCAGCGTCTACACATTCCTGGCAGGAATGTCCCCAGTTCAGCTTTGAGGCTGAGGAAGGTATGACCTGTTTTGCTGGTTTCCTCAGCTTTAACACTGAAATTTTAATTCCCTTGTATAGTAACTTTAGTAAGTCAAAATGCTTTTTTCCAATGGTTCTGTAAACAGCCTTATGTCACTCTCATGCTCAAACATCATAAACAGCACTCCACTGCCTGCCAAAGTTGAGTAATAGTAAAAATAAGCTCTCTCTTATAGAACACGATGGGCTAGGTACTGCACTAAGTGCTTTACATTGCATTATCTCATTTAATATTCCAAATAGCCCTATCAATAATATATAATGATACCATTTTACAGATGAGGAGCTTAAGGGAGAGCTAGGAAGTTTCAATAAATAAGATGTCAGGCAAATAAGCATGCACTAACCCCAGAGCTATACTGCATCTCTAACTTGTTTTCTTTTTTTCCAATTTCTCCAAATCTCTTTGTATTTACCTTTTATTATGAACACATTCAAACAAAAACAAAGGTAGAAAGAATAGTGCAATAAAGCACCATGTATCCATCACCCAGCTACAACAATCTCATCCATAATCCACCCAAACTCTCTCCCCACCTTGTATCTTGCCCAGACTAAATTATTTTGAAGCAAATTCCAAACACCCAATCATTCAATGTAAACATTTCAAAATGTATCTCATGCATAACATTTCTAACATTTTAATAGGCACCAAAAACAATTGAGTCAACATGGCTTCCAAGCCTCTCAACCACCCAGTTCCAACTGACCTTCCTAAAGTGATCTATTACTTTTAATCACAGGTCTGTCTCACCCTAAGCCAGTTTTGTGAAGGATGGTCCCAGAGCACCAGAATGAAAATACTTTGGGTTAATTCTCAAAAATTCAGATTTCTGGGCCCTACCCCAGACCTCTGAATCAGAATTTCTAATAAAGCCTAAGGACCCACATTTTAATAAGCTCACCCAGCTGGTTCTTGGACACATTAAAGTTTGAGAATTACAGATAGAAAGTTGTCCACATATTTTCTTTACTTCTTTTTTCTTGCCAATATATTTCCTTTTCTTCTTGAAATCCTTCCCTTCCTTTACTACCCTAACCAGCTGACAGGCTTTAATCTTTTAACCATCCCAATGCCACCCTTCCATAAAGTATTTCCTAATTTAATCAATAAAAAAATCTCTTATCTTCTGAACTTTCATACCTCTTTGTGTTCTCTCATGGTGCCAAGCACACCCCACTGTTTGACAGTTTTTATGCATTTATTTTATCCTTTTGATTACATTATGAACTTTGGAGCAGGCCATTTTTATACATTTTTGTATCTCTTGCATTGTACCTTGCAAAGAATTGGCAGTTAGTAAACAATTCTAGAATGGACTTACATAATCCTTTACAATTTAGAGCATTAATTTCAAAGTTAATGACATAGAGTTTTCTTTATTAAGCTGAAATTAATACTGAAGTGAATGAATTATTTCATCATCTCATGTAGACTACAGATGCACAAGCAAAGGAAACCATTCTTAGATCATTAAATTATCATTCATTACAAAACATAATATTTTGATATTTAAAAAAGACATTTGGGGCTTGCTTCTAGGTATATCAGACTAAGATCCTACAGCCAGTCTCCCTGTAAAAAGCAACTATAAACCCAGAAATAATGCAAACCACAACTAATCACAGGTACTGGAGAGTTAACAAAACCAGAGAGACTCAGGTGGGAAGTTTATGGTTGCTTAAAGGTGGAGACACAGGAACTCTCTGTAAGAGAGAGAATCCAAAATTTTCCAAGAAAATTGCCTGTTTAAACCAAAGAAACAAAGCTTATCAGAGAAAAATAATAACCTAAGAGATGATGCAGCTTCCAGACCAGTTCTACAGGAGACACTTAAAAAGGTATTAAGCACAGAAGAAAGAAAAAAAAAAGAATGATGACACACTTCCCAAGAGAACAGCAGAGCACAGAATTGACACAGAATACAGTGCAATAAGAAACTTGAAAATACACACATACATTAACCCCAAAGCCACAAGAACACAAGCAAACAAAGAAAAAACTTTATAAGAACCTCATGACAGTAACAAACAATCACATGTCAATAATCAGCCTGAATGTGAATGGACTAAATATACCACTGAAATGACGACAGAATGGCAAACTGGATAAGAAACCATGACCCAATTACTTGCTGAATCCAGGAGACTCATCTCACTACAAGGAATGCACACAGACTCAGAGTTAAAGGATGGGAAACGAGTTCCCTGGCAAATAGATCAGACAAAAAAAAAAAAAAAAAACCAAAAAACTAAGCTATCAAAAATTTAAAAAGATGCAAAAGGACACATAATGATAAAAGGTTCAATCCATCAACAAGAAATATCCATTCTAAACATCTATGCACCCAATACAGGAGCACCAGCATTTATAAAGCAACTACTAAGTAAACTAAAAAAAGATATTGACTCTAACACTATTATAGCAGGGGACTTGAATACCCCACTAACAGTTCTAGATATATCATCAAGGCAAAAAATCAACAAGAAGATCCAGAACCTAAACTTAACACTCAACCAAATGGACTTAACAGATACCTACAGATTACTCCACCCAACAACCACAGAATATATATTCTACTCATCACCACATGGAATGTACTCCAAATTCGATCACATCCTTGGCCATAGATCAA